TGCTCCTGCCCCTCTCTTACCCTATATACACTACCCTTGCAAAACTGAGCTTGGTTCTGACGACCATTTACACATCATGCTATCTTGGTTCCTTGACTCCTCACCTCCTAGTGACGATCTGCAGTATTACTGGCAGTATTGAAGGAGGAAATCTAGCAGTTGGTGGCAGTAATGCACCAAAAGTTGTTTGCCAACTGCCATAAAACACAAGAAGAAGAAGACGAAGAATAAAGGCATATACAGGTGCTGGTCATAAAATTAGAATATCATGAAAAAGTAGATTGATTTCAGTAATTCCATTTAAAAAGTGAAACTTGTATATTATATTCATACATTACATACAAACTCATATATTTCAGATGTTTATTTTGTTTAATTTTGATGATTACAAATGACAACAAATGAAAATCTCAAATTCATCATATCAGAAAATTAGAATATTACTGAAGACCAATAAAAACAAAGGATTTATAGAAATGTTGGCCAACTGAAAAGTATGAACATGAAAAGTATGAGCATGTACAGCACTCAGTATTTAGTTGGGCCTCCTTTGGCCTGTATTACTGCAGCAATGCGGCGTGGCATGGAGTCGATCAGTCTGTGGCACTGCTCAGGTGTTATGATAGCCCAGGTTGCTCTAATAGTGGCTTTTAGCTCTTCTGAATTGTTGGGTCTGGTGTATTTCATCTTCTTCTTCACAATACCCCATAGATTTTCTATGGGGTTAAGGTCAGGAGAGTTTGCTGGCCAATTAAGAACAGGGATAACATGGTCCTTCAACCAGGTACTGGTAGCTTTGGCACTGTGTGCAGGTGCCAAGTCCTGTTGGAAAATGAAATCTGCATCTCCAAAAAGTTGGTCAGCTGCAGGAAGCATGAAGTGCTCTAAAACTTCCTGGTATGTGGCTGCGTTGACCCTGGACCTCAGAAAACACAATGGACCAACACCAGCAGATGACATGGCACCCCAAACCATCACTGACTGTGGAAACTTTACACTGGACTTCAAGCAACGTGGATGAAGTGCCTCTCTTCTTTTCCTCCAGACTCTGGGACCTTGATTTCCAAAGGAAATGCAAAATTTACTTTCATCAGAGAACATGACTTTGGACCACTCACCAGCAGTCCAGTCCTGTTTCTCTTTAGCCCAGGCAAGACGCTTCTGACGCTGTCTGTGGTTCAAGAGTGGCTTGACACAAGGAATGCGACAGCAGAAACCCATGTCTTTCATACGTCTGTGTGTGGTGGTTCTTGAAGCACTCACTCCAGCTGCAGTCCACTCTTTGTGAATCTCCCCCACATTTTTGAATGGGTTTTGTTTCACAATCCTCTCCAGGGTGCGGTTATCTCTCTTGCTTGTACACTTTTTTCGACCACATCTTTTCCTTCCCTTCGCCTCTCTATTAATGTGCTTGGACACTGAGCTCTGTGAACAGCCAGCCTCTTTAGCGATGACCTTTTGTGTCTTGCCCTCCTTGTGCAAGGTGTCGATGGTCGTCTTTTGGACAACTGTCAAGTCAGCAGTCTTCCCCATGATTGTGTAGCCTATAGAACTAGACTGAAAGACCATTTAAAGGCTTTTGCAGGTGGTTTGAGTTAATTAGCTGATTAGAGTGTGGCACCAGGGGCCATCAATTTTGAACCTTTTCACAATATTCTAATTTTCTGATATGATGAATTTGAGATTTGTATTTGTTGTCATTTGTAATCATCAAAATTAAACAAAATAAACATCTGAAATATATGAGTTTGTATGTAATGTATGAATATAATATACAAGTTTCACTTTTTAAATGGAATTACTGAAATCAATCTACTTTTTCATGATATTCTAATTTTATGACCAGCACCTGTAAGTCATTTGCTCTGTTCGAAAACCTAGAATCTTAGAAGGCCAGATTCGAAGGCCAATTATGTCATTGCGCGGCACCGAGGTCTGGTTGGATTCCAAGACTCCTCGGTATGCAACCTTAAAATGCGTCCTTCTTTTAGCCAGATATAAAGGATGGGTCCGATGTATCCTCGCTATCCTTGGATATCCCAGGATTCATTGCAAGACCAAGCAAGCCGTGATCAGAGGAAGGATTACTTGACGCCGAACAGTGGTGAAAATTGGAAGTTCAGTTTAATATAATCAAGTCTGTGAATAGTTCCGTCTGAGATTAATGAAAATAGTTGTTTTAATGGTTATTGAATTAGATATGTGGCGGTAATGTTTGATTTATTTAAAGGTTTTAATCTGTTACTGTGTAAATGGGTTTCGCTGGAATTTAAGGACAGATTCTAATAAATCTGCAGGGTGGGAACTATAAATCTGGTAGGATTTTTATCTTTTTATTGCTGTTTTGCACAATATGCTTAACTAAGTATTTTTTGTTGTTGAATATTAGAGATTTTGCAGATATATTTTTTACACATACATTGTTTAGATTTACTTATATATTTCTAACCCTTTTATAGAATAGAATAGAAAATCCCTTTATTGTCCCACAATGGGCAGATTTACAGCAGCAGAAAGATTATTGAAAATGGTCAAACAAATGTGGACCTTAAAATAATATATAAGAATAACATAATAGGGAAGAGTTAAAATATAAACAATAAAATACTGTAAAGTGTTTTAACAATATAAAACTGGAGAATAAATAACCAATATGCAGCTATGGACATTTTTACAGTAATGGATATTTGAAAATAGCAGCAACATCAGAGATGTGTAAAATGACAGCAGCAGGTTATCTAACTGACTAAGGTTTCTATCATTACATTTGATTTTATTTGTTCCTGCTCCCGGTGGTTGGAACCTTTATTCCACTCTGGATTCCTGTGAGTGTAGTCTTTGTTCACTTTACAATAAAAAATAAATAAACAGTTTTGAAAACCTCAGTATTCATTCTTTTCCTGCTTTGTGTGTCAACTTTCTCGGTTGCTAAGCAACAGAGCTTACGCGGTAAAACCCGCCGAAGGGTAGACCTGTTCGAATTCACAGTCAAAACTCTTCCGGTCTCCTTATTTTCAAGGACTTCGAAGGATCCAGTCTAGGTAGACCGCGTCCTTGGAGGATGCAGCCCAGGTTTTTAAACAGAGCCACCATTTAAAATGTTGCATGGAGAAGAATTTGATTGTTGTTTATAGTTGTTCTTCTTCTTCTGTTTGTGTTGGTTGGCAAGAAACTTCCAGAGGGGCATTACCGCCAACTACTGGAATGGAGTGTGAATCGGGATGCGCAGCCAGACGGAGATGACGCGTTCTGCTCATGCGCTCTTGTTATCATAGAACCGAGCCAGGGAAAAACCGAGCCGAGCCCACCTCTGGAACTGGTAAGTAGTTAGTGTGGTCCGGTTGTGTCTAGCTCGGTTCAGTTCAGTTTGCTTTCCTTTTCCAAATGATAAGTTATCTCAGTTACCGAGCTCGGACTGGTCTCGGCACTGTTTTTCAAAGGTAGTGTTAATGGGTTATTTGCCTCCCGGCTCTGTGCCTCCTCTCCTTCGCCCATAAAACTGGGCTTCAGCCTGGACCTCCACTGTGGTGGAGAACCAAGGCCCAGGGGAACCAGATCTCCAGAACCACCAAGGACATACTAGTTTAGTTTAGTTTAGTTTAGTTGAGTTTTACTAGTCTTAGTTGAGAGTGTTAAACTGAAATATGTTTGACTTGGAGCTGAATGATTTTTGTTAATAAACTCTTATATTTTGAACAGAAGTTGTGGTGAATTTATTCAGAGATGGCAAAAGTACTCACTTTCCGTACTTGAGTAAAAGTACAGATACTTGTGTTAAAAATAAATACTCTGGTAAAAGTGGAAGTACTCATTAAACTTCTTTACTCAAGTAAAAGTAACAAAGTAGAGGACTGGATCTCCGTTGTGTTCATTTTCAATCATCTTGTCGTCCATACTACTATGCTAACGCCACCACCACCAAGCTGCAATGATTTGCCGCGAATGAATACCGCCGAATCTGTCGATTCATCTTGTAGTGGTGCGTCAAATGCAACGTAGATTCCCATCCAATTAGATTGAATTTGGTATTGGTGATGTGAAAAATAATAACGGTAACTCCATTGAAATTATTCAAAACTAAAGTAACGAGTAGAAAGTACAGATATTTGTGTAAAAATGTAAGGAGTAGAAGTAAAAAGTCGCCATAAAAATAAGTAGTAAAGTAAAGTAAAAATATCAGAAAAATCTACTTGAGTACAGTAACGAAGTATTTGTACTTCGTTACTTCCCATCTCTGCATTTATTCCATATATGTGCAGAATTAACAGTTTGACCATGATTAGTGCTCGAATCACTCTTTCATCTATTGTTCTAACACACAGCTAGTGTGTCATAAACAGTATATAACAGCCAAAACAATATCTGATTAAATACGATATTTTACCACCCCTACAGGGGAGGGCAATAAACATCTTAAAGTATCAGAAACACAAATTCCCAGCTGGCTGGGAATTGAAAAGAACACAAAATCACAACATATAGTTGGCGTCCCTGATTGCTGGGCCCATTAAAATCACAACATCTTTTTAGATTTATTTTGAATTATTCTTTCACATTATTTTTTAAATACGATCTCACTTCCTTCATCTAAACTTACTTCCTCCAAACTTAGTTTTGAATTCCCAACCAAACTTCTGTCTTCTTGTCTTCTTCGTCCATTCACAACCTGAGACTGAACTAATGTTGCCATGTCAAACCTAGCTTTATATCTTATCCTTGATTTCTGAAAACAGCGCTTAGTTGAGAGCCATCGATCTAGAAAATGATGTTAATCTTTTGGACAAATCCTCTGAGGTGTTTATGTCTTGCTAGAAGACTTTGGCATAGAGCACAGCATTTCTTAAACCTTTATAAATGATTTTATTTTAAATGCTGCTTTTACTTTATAGTTCCCCTCCAGGTGGAAGGCCAGAACAGTTACCTTCCTAAATAGAACAAGAAATGACAAAGTTTAGATACATCAGAAAACAGCAAGAACAATTTACATTTTTCACTGAATGTTAAATGTGTTTTTTCCTTAAATCCTTCAGATCTTTCCAAGTTTTAATAAAAAAAAAAATACATTGGAAAAAGAAAAGCCTGTTAAAAGATCTTCAGCAATTCACCATCCAACAAACAAGTCCAACAACAAAGAGGATGGCAGGTAAATATGAGAGGATAAATGACATCAGGAAAAGATGACAGATTCAACAACACGGTTAAACAACCTGACATGAGGATAAAGAGAAAAACTCATGATCTACACATATTTCACATTGACAGAATATATAAACGTACAGCATATGGAAACAACATATAAATCTGATATGTACACATAAACCCACCACATATACAGCTTCCTTTACATAAACACATTACACCCACATCTTATATAGACACACTGGCATGTGAAAGCACACATGAACATATTTTTGGCAGCAAAAGAACCCAGAACATTACAGGACTTTAAAAATGTGATCTACAGTGTTTAGACCAACATAGGTCTCATGTAGCACCAAGCTGATATATTTTCATATTCCATCCTGTGTTCTCCTTTAGATTCCATCATTTAATTTCTGCAGTAGCTTTTTGGTTGAACAAGAGTTCCTGTGTTTAGTTAAAGGATTGGAGAAAATGTTCAGAGGATCTTCTTTATTCTCTGTGAGAATGAATTAATCTTTTTTTTAATCTATTGGAGATCTTCATCATGTTTCTCCATATAACTGACTGAGGAACAAATGCTGCCAATCCCAGAGCTGATCTCAGACTGTCTCACTCTCTTAGCCAGCCATTCAGCAACGTTGTTATGAGCTTGTCGCTTCCTAATCTCTGAAATGCTCCCATATTCTGAGGAAACATCTCCGCTCACTGAAACAGAAGACAAAAAAACCTTGTTATTCTAAAAAAAAACAAAAAAAAAACATAGAAGTTGCCAAGAGTTTGTAGAACCTCAGCGATTAGTTCTTCATCATTTTAAACTTACTGTCTGGAATTAAAAACCCATCCTTGCTCTCTGCCACCTCCACAGAGGGCACTGTTGGTTTCTCTGGTTCCTTTTCTAAAGCTTTCATCATTCTCTCCATCAGCTCCTGCTCCCGTCTGTTCCACTCCTCTTCCATCAGCATGCGTTGTTTTTCTTGCAAAGGTAGAAACTGAAAATTCTTTCTTTTTCCTTCAGTCGTGAAGCATCCTTTGTTCTGTTTTACCATGTTGATAATTTTTTGGAACAGCTCTTTGACTTGAACAGGATCATCATAATCAAAGCTGCTGAGAACATGGTATCTGTTCCCACACTTCTCCAGAAGCTCCTGGAGCTCCTTGCCCTCTCTGACGATGTAGTTCTCTACAGGGAGGCCATTGAGCCAGTTTCCAAAGGTAAACAGCACCATGCAGTGTCTCCACACTCTCTCTGTTAATGGCATCAGGACCTCCACCAGAGCTTTGAGATCTTTCTCAGAGAAAGCTCTGAAGATTGGAACAACCAGGAGAAAAACATGAGGTCCAGGAGAAAACATGGAGACACTGTGGAGAACTTCATCTTTGATCCAGTCAGGTGGTGTTGGGTCTGAGAACCAGCCTGGTGTTTCAACCACTGAGACTTTTACTCCATCAAAGTCTCCTTCATGTTTCTCACATGTTGCAGATGTTCTCTGATCTTCATAGTTCTGAAAAAAAGAAGAACATTTCTGGATGTGCTGAACTCAGGTAAACATCCAGTCTGGATGTTAGAATCTATTAAATGTTTTTTTCTTAATCATCATGATGGTTCACCTTTTCCAACCAAGCTCTCTCAAAGGTTCTGTTAAATTTCTCCTTGAAAAGGATCCGATTTCCTGCTGAACTCTTTCCTGAACATTTCTGTCCAACCAGAACAATCCTGATGTCAGTGACTGGATCTCTCTCAGCTGGAAAACAAACAGAAAAACCAAATAGTTTCTAATCCTGAAACATTAATGTTAAAGGATTATATCATAAACTTTTATAAAACTTGTTTACCTTCATAAACCTCTTTCAGGACTCTTGACTGTCTCTCGTTGATCTCCTTCAACCTTCTGGCTTCCTTGTCTGCAGCCTCCATCTTGGCTTCTATCTGTGCTGCTCGGTCCAGGTCCACTTCATAATGAGGATCTTCATTTCCTGCCCACATCTCTTCAATCTTCTCAATGAGCTCCTTTACCTGAGTCTTATCACTGTGGTCGTTGTTGTTCAGAACATGATACCTGTTCCCACACTTGTTCACTATCCACTGCAGACCTTTATCACTCTCTATATGCTCCTCCACAGTCTTCACTCCTAACCAGTCACCATAAGTAAACAGAACCAGTGTGTGTTTCCAGATTTCTTCTCTAAACAGACTCATGTGATCCTGGACAGATCTCAGATATGATGCATCAAAGCTGATCACCAGAGTAATAACCAGCAGCACAGCATGTGGTCCTGGAGGACAGAGATTCACACTGTTCTCTATTTCCATTTTGTCCATCTCACTGGTGTCCTGAAGGGTGTGGATGTAGAACCATCCAGGAGAATCCACCACTGTGAGCCGCCTTCCTTCAACCACACTGTGGCTAATTTCACTGCCTGTTGTCTTTCTTCCAACACTTTCATTCACACCAAATGCAGTTTTTCCAAGAATGATGTTTCCTGCTGAGCTCTTTCCAGCCCATGAATCACCAATCATTAATATTCTCAAATGGTTTGGAGGAACTTTTCCACCTAAATTATAAAAAAAAAAAAAAACAATAATTATAATTTAAAAGTTTGCAGTTCAGGTCTGTTTAGAGTAGAGTGGATAAGATGGAGAAAAAATAAATTTGGCAAATAACAGAAAACAGCTGTTAGATTATTTGAGTTTGAGAAAAGAAATAAACTATGTAAATTCTTCAATTTAGTGTCGGGATCCAAGGGCTTGCCCTCCAGAGGGCTGTGTGGATCCCTTCCTGTGGGCTTCTGTTTCTGTTGGGATCCAGAGGTTTGCCCACCAGAGGGCGCCGTGGATCCTCTCCTAGGAGCTGGTTCTCTGCGCTCAGCTGATTCCCATCAGCTCTGCTGATTAACCTCTCCCTATTTAAGCTGAGTGATAGCTTCTCTCTGAGCCGGATCGTTGCCATGCTCTGCCATGCCATGCCTTGCCGTTGTCATTGTCCTGTCCTTGCCATGGAAGCAAACCTGAGCTACTCTGCCTGAATCTGTTCATCTGTTCCTGTTGAACTCTGCCTGTCTGAACCTGCAAACCAGTGAGTTTGAGCCTGTAAACCTGTGACCTGAACCTAACCTGTTTGTCCTCTCTGCCTTTCCAGGGCAGATCCCTGTGTGTCACCAATAAATATTGGACTTTAATCCTGCCTGTCTGTTCTGTGAGTTCTGCATCTTGGGCTAGCAAACCAACCACATCATGATAGAACGATCCGGCCAACAGACTAGCCCAGCAGACTCCTTCCACGCTCACCTGGTGAGGCCCGCTCAGCGCCGTCCGCTGCCTCCCAGGTGGGAGGCGCTGCTTCGACACTATGATGAGATAGTGGCCACCTTAGCCCCTGAGCCCGCTCTGAGCCGTCTGGAGACCCCTGAGCCCGCTCTGAGTCGTCCGCCCCCCCCCCTTGCTGGTGGAGTGGCGCCGGCGTTGTGGGGAGTTGGATCGTGAGTTGGAGATGGAGCGGCGTCGACATGATGAGGAGTGGAATCGCAGATGTCGGGAGATTTGGGGCCGTTGGGGAAACCCTGAGCCTGCTCTGCGTCATCCAGTGACTCCTGAATCGGCGGCCTCTTCACTTCCTGATTCGGAGCCGCAATCGGCGGTCTCCTGTATGCCTGTGGAGCCACAGTCGGTGGTTTCCTCTGCTCCTGATGCGAAGCCGCAATGGGCGGCCTCTTCACTTCCTGATTCGGAGCCGCAATCGGCGGTCTCCTGTGTTCCTGTGGAGCCACTGTCGGTGGTTTCCTCTGCTCCTGATGCGAAGCCGCAATGGGCGGCCTCTTCAGTTCCTGATTCGGAACCACAATCGGCGGCTTCTGGTTCTCCTGGGGTGGAGCCGCAATCGTCGGCCTCTTCTGTTCCTGATCCGGAGCCGCAATCGGCAGCCTCCTGTGTTCCTGTGGAGCCACAATCAGTGGTCTCCTCTGTCCCTGTGGAGCCACAATCGGTGGTTTCCTCTGCTCCTGGTGTGAAGCTACAGTCGGTGGCTTCCGGTGCTCCTGATTCGGAGCCACAGTCGGTGGCTTCCGGTGTTCCTGATGCGGAGCCGCAATCGACGGCCTCCTCAGTTCCTGATTCAGAGCCACAGTGGGTGACCAAGTTGGAGCCTGTTGCTGAGCTGCAGCAGCAGAGAGGGTGTCCTCTTCGGAGCTTCCTGCAGAAGCAGAGACGGCGTCTCCCTCGGAGCTTCCTGCAGAAGCAGAGACGGCGTCTCCCTCGGAGCTTCCTGCAGAAGCAGAGACGGCGTCTCCCTCGGAGCTTCCTGCAGCAGCAGAGACGGCGTCTCCCTCGGAGCTTCCTGCAGAAGCAGAGACGGCGTCTTCCTCGGTGCTTCCTGCAGAAGCAGAGACGGCGTCTTCCTCGGTGCTTCCTGCAGAAGCAGAGACGGCGTCTTCCTCGGTGCTTCCTGCAGAAGCAGAGACGGCGTCTTCCTCGGTGCTTCCTGCAGAAGCGGAGACGGCGTCTTCCTCTGTGCTTCCTGCAGAAGCAGAGACGGCATCTTCCTCGGTGCTTCCTGCAGCAGCAGAGAAGGTGTCCTCCTCCAAGGCCCCTGCAGCTTCTGAGACGCCGGTCCCTCGGCCGGCCACCTGAGACTCTACCCTGCTGCCGGCCCCCTCGGCCGGCCACCTGAGACTCTGCCCTGCTGCCGGCCCCCTCGGCCGGCCACCTGAGACTCTGCCCTGCTGCCGGCCCCTCGGCCGGCCACCTGAGACTCTGCCCTGCTGCCGGCCCCTTGGCCGGCCACCTGAGACTCTGCCCTGCTGCCGGCCCCCTCGGCCGGCCACCTGAGACTCTACCCTGCTGCCGGCCCCCTCGGCCGGCCACCTGAGACTCTACCCTGCTGCCGGCCCCCTCGGCCGGCCACCTGAGACTCTGCCCTGCTGCCGGCCCCTCGGCCGGCCACCTGAGACTCTGCCCTGCTGCCGGCCCCTTGGCCGGCCACCTGAGACTCTGCCCTGCTGCCGGCCCCTCGGCCGGCCACCTGAGACTCTGCCCTGCTGCCGGCCCCACGGCCGGCCACCTGAGACTCTGCCTTGCTGCCGGCCCCACGGCCGGCCACCAGAGACTTTTCCTGTCCTCGCCCACCCCGGGTGGGTTGTTTTGATTTCTGGACCCTGTTCTGTTTTTTGTGCCTGCCCCTCCATGCCTGTTTCCCCCTCCGCCCGCCCTGGGTGGGTTGTTTTTGTTTTCTGGTTTTTGTTTTTGGGCGTCTGGTATCCGCCCTTGAGGGGGGGGTACTGTCGGGATCCAAGGGCTTGCCCTCCAGAGGGCTGTGTGGATCCCTTCCTGTGGGCTTCTGTTTCTGTTGGGATCCAGAGGTTTGCCCACCAGAGGGCGCCGTGGATCCTCTCCTGGGAGCTGGTTCTCTGCGCTCAGCTGATTCCCATCAGCTCTGCTGATTAACCTCTCCCTATTTAAGCTGAGTGATAGCTTCTCTCTGAGCCGGATCGTTGCCATGCTCTGCCATGCCATGCCTTGCCGTTGTCATTGTCCTGTCCTTGCCATGGAAGCAAACCTGAGCTACTCTGCCTGAATCTGTTAATCTGTTCCTGTTGAACTCTGCCTGTCTGAACCTGCAAACCAGTGAGTTTGAGCCTGTAAACCTGTAACCTGAACCTAACCTGTTTGTCCTCTCTGCCTTTCCAGGGCAGATCCCTGTGTGTCACCAATAAATATTGGACTTTAATCCTGCCTGTCTGTTCTGTGAGTTCTGCATCTTGGGCTAGCAAACCAACCACATCATGACATTTAGATGGTTTTAAAATGTCTACTGTCTTTTTCTATTTTACCAACAAAAAAAAGCATTTTCCCAAAGTGATGATTAAATACTTTGTTTTGTATATCGAGCTCCCAGAGACGTCTGCAGAAACATTTATCACTTTATCCTGATAGAAAGAAAGTAGAATTACCTTCAATCTGCAGCTTCAGGTTTCTTCTTTGTTTCTGAACTTCATCAAACCTTTTTGAGGCTTTTTTAACCAAATCTTTCAGTCTCTCTCTCAGAGCATTTCCATCAGATTCATCAACAGAACAGTGTCTGCCCCTGTTCTGTTCAATCATCGCCTCAATTTTCTCTAGAAGCATCTTGACTTGATCTCTATCTTCTCTGTTGCTGATATTGAGAACATGTTTTCTGTTTCCACATTGTTGAAGGATCCATTGCAGGACTGGACATTCTCTGATTTCAGATTTAATGGTTTCATCACTACATGGGTCGACTGCAGTGAACAGCACGATGGTGTGACTGAAAACATCTGCTTTGAAAAGTTCCAGGTGTTCCTCTAGAGAGAGATTGATGAGATTAAAGAAATGTGAACCAACAGGAATGACCAGCAGAAAGACATGAGGTCCTGGGGGACACAGATGGACACTATTCTGGATTTCTATCTGATCCAGTTTTAGGGTTTCTTCTCTTGGATAAGTCCAACACCATCCTGGAGTATCAACCACTGTGAGTCGTCTGCCGAGTACTTCCTGCTGCCTCGCTTCACTCTGAGCTGTTCTTCTGCTGGTGTCAAAAACATTGTGACCCAGGAGGATGTTTCCAGCTGAGCTTTTACCGCTGGAAAGGTAATCGAATCTTCCTCCTATCAACACAATCCTCAGTTCTGTAGCAGGGCGGCTCAGTGCTGTTAAGAGAGGTAAGGCTTTATTCTATCACACAGTTTACAAACATGTTAAATTAACCAACCAGAGAACAGGATTTCTAGATCAACATCTCTATTAGAACAATGACAAAAACATTGTGTTACATTGACTCAAAATCTAATGTAAGGAAATCTAGAAAAGCTGAGGGAGCCATTTTGTTCGACTCCATGTTCTATTTAAAGTCAAAGTCTCTGATTTTAACATATTGATTCTCAAAAATAAGAATTAACCAGATTATAATTTAAACAGAATACATTTTAAGGTAAAGTTTGATAAAAAGATCTCTGACCTGAGTTGGAAATATCAGCTGAAGCGGCCATTTCATCAGCTTCACTTTGTCGACTTTCTGCTTGTTTGTTCCAACAAAACCTGTTTCTAAATGAAAGCAAATGAAGCAGAAGGAATGTTGTTTATGTTGAAGGTTGGGTGGTGAAGTCAAACAAGAGATTGCCATCTGCTGGACAACTAGATTAGCTACAGGTCTACTGAGGTAAGAAGTAAAGACATTGAAGATAAACTGCTGATATTAGAAAAATGAAAGGAAATTAAAAAGAATGAAATAAAAATCTAATGTTTAAATGCTTCACTGAAAGTAGAAGAAACCAGTTTCAGAAAATCAGATCCAGGATATAATCACAGCAGTTAATCTGTCTTAACAGTCCTGATTGTCAGGACTCCTGTCTGTGTGTTTGTGTTTCTGTTTTTGTCTCCCTTTCTCCACCAGGAGGCGCCTGGTTCTGGTCCGACTCCTCACACACCTGCTGATGGTTTCCTCGTTAACGGAGTGTTCTTAAGCTGCTGACTGCCACTACCTCAACGCCAGAGTGTTTGCCAGTTTTGGGTACTCTAGCTAAGCTGAGTTTTGCTGAGTCAAACTGAGTTCTTGTCAACCTGAGTTTTAACATTGTTTTTGTCTTTGCCTCTTGACAGAAAGTCATCCTGCAAATTGGATTTTTCGGACCATCACTCCCTGGAAGGATCAACAGAGCTTCAAGCTGAGCTGGGGTTACAAACAGGAGGTTTGGACCCACTTTCCCCAAGAGATCGTTTGAGCTTCACACTGAAAAAGGGATTCATCTCCACTACGACCCGTTCAAGTACCGCAGGAAATCTGAGTGGCAGTCAGCTTCTCAGTTCACCTACAAACAACTGCATTCTGTGTAAACCCTGTTCTGCCCTCCACTGAATCAGACAAACACTGGAACATCAGCATACAGACTGGAGTCAAAGATTCAACAATTTCTCTAGAAACATGAGTCAGCAACCAGATCCTCTTCTTCAAGTTCACGAATCAAATTTCCCACTGAGCCTGAACTAATCCCTGTGTCTTCCCCTCACTTTTCAGTTCCGGCTGAGCAGTGTTCAGAGCAACACTTTTCTCCTGGTCTCCCTGTTTGTTCTTCAGCATTTGGGTCTGAACTTTAAGTAAAATCATGACACTGAACAAATTTGAAGCCTAAGAAAACATCTAACATTATTCTGTCTGTGATCAAGTAAGCATGCTGCTGGAATTAACATCAAAATGAGCAGAGTTAGTTGAGTTTGACCTATATTTGACCAAAGCTTCTTCCTTTGTCCTGCCATCAGAGCTACTGACCGCAGTGTATTGTCACGCGCCTACTCATTTCACGACGGGTGAGAAAGTGGAAGCCTCCGCCTTGTTAATCAGCTCCCCTGCACCATCACACAGGATTCCTCCCTTTGAGGACTGTTAAAGAAAAATGATTATTTTTAGTTTTTAATACAGTTAATCTTATGGCATGTGTAAAAGGTATGTTGAACACTCTCATTTTGAACATATTTCTTAATTTTGAACAAGTTTGTGTTAATGATTTAAAACTAAAATATTAATGGGTAAGTATTCAAAGTACAGGAAGGAAAATGTAGATCAAAGGGGATCTCGCAATGAGGCTCCGGTTGTTTATCAGGGAGGACAGGAGGCCATAAAATGAGTATCTCCTGGAGGGCAGCATCATTTGAGCCTCAAGGAGAGAAGTCTGCTTGGTTCACAGAAGATCAAAAGTCTTCCAGAACTAACATCTGGGATGGTGTAAAACTGAATACAACGTAGAATGTTAAAACACTAACATTTAGTTTTTAAGACATTTTTCTAAGTACTAATAGCATGTTTTTTAAATGAAAATTGTATTATCTAATTTTAGAATTAACTAGTTTAGTAGATGATGAATGTATTTGAAAATTTTACTATCTGTGACAATATCAGAATCAAATGGAAATTGTTTGAATGAAAATGTTTTGTTTAGTATTAGAAAATTGCTCAGGATTTATGCTAAATGGGGTTTTGGAAAATGTGTTAGCTTGTATACTCAGGATTGAATATTATGTTTCATAGGTGAGAAAAAGGAATTGTACCTCATGTTCTGTTGATTCTATGTGTTATTTTTGGTTTAAGGCAGGATTCAATCTTTTGGGGTGGAGAGTGCAGAAGAGCAAAATTGGGTTTGTGAAGATAACCTTTCCTTGAACCAAATTACTGAATTTAAGTTTGTTCCTGAGAATTTATGTAAGAAGAGATAGCAGGAGAGGCTCCGGATTCCACAGCTATCTGTGAAATCTTATCTTATGTTTTCCTTAGCCAGATGACCTTAGAATCCTGGAGGCCAGGACAAGCTCTCTGCTCTTTTTGTTAAACAAAGGAGCAAATGGCCTTTGATTTTTGCCGTAAATTAGGGGAAGTTCTAAGTTTTTCTGAGTGTCCAAGGTAGCTTCCAATTGGTCAAGCGGAGGGACGCCTTAACTGAATATACTAAAAGGAAAGACACACCTACATTATAAAAGTTTGTGCACACGAGTAATAATTCAGAGAGCTGCCACTATTTTGCTTTTTTTGCACCAGCTCTCTCCAAAGACACGTCTTTGCCTTTCTTTTCTATTTTCTTTTCTATTTTCTTTACCTCAGGTAATTGAATGTATGTTTCTGTTGTTCTGCAGTTTTGTTGTTAATTCATAAGCTCTTTCTTGTTGGATTAAATTCTGTGATTCTGTGACGCCCACACACATTGTTGGTTCCTTGTGGCCACATGCAGCTCGCCGGGAGGGCCTGGGATCCAAAGGAAGAGAGAGAGCCAAACTTTTTCCAAAGTTAACTATTTTAGAATATTTTTCTTCCTTAACAGGAGCCAGTGTTGCATTATGTTCGGGGTTGAATAAACCAGGGAGGACACCTCTGGAGAAAGCCATAAGTTAACCACACCAATTATAGCCCATCAAACTCCCTTGTTGCTTGCATAAGACTGATTCAAATATCCCCTAGAGCCGACCAGGTTCAGGAAACTGACTGGTTTGGGCTGAATTGAGCTGATACCTGAAGCTGCCCTACTTCTCATCCAGGATCTTCAGAATCGATTCACAGTAAAACCTATCAATTATTCCATCTGATGCTCAAATAAGGTGCTAAACTTGGGAGAATTTAGTTAAGTTCAGGATTTTGCAAAGCATTTTATTGAACTTTGGGACTTTTTAAGCGGATGGTTCATTTAAAAGGGTTCTAAACTAAGCACTAGTTTCATAGTGTGAATGAATGTGGTGTGACTGGCTGTGAGTGAGTTTATGTGTTTGTTTCATCTTGTTTTCTTGGTTTCCTTTTGTCCTGAGATTGGTGTATTAGAGCAAACTAAGGCTCTGTTTGAATTTATGGGCTGCGTCTTCCAAGGACGCGGTCTACCTGGATCCTCTGAAGTCCTTGAAAATAAGGAGACCGGAAGGGTTTCGCTGTGAATCCAAACAAGTCTACCCTTTGGCAGCTTTTACTGTGGTACGCTTTGTCGCTTAGCAACCGCGACAGTTAACACACAAAGCAGGAAAAGACTGAATACCAAACTTTTCAAAACTGTGTCTTTTTAATTTTTTTTTCTTGTAAAGTGAACAAAGACTACACTCATGAGAATCCAGAGTGGAATAAAGGTGACAACCACCGGGAGCAAGAACAAGTAAAAGCCAATGTAATGATATAAACCTTAGTCAGTTATATAAAATGCTGCTGTCATTTTGCACATCTGTGTCAGGGGGCTCAAAACCTTGGATCCAATATTCAAACCAGACAGATCAATAAGTTTAAACTGTCTTTATTTTAAAACGGCACGTGGCTGCTTCTTAGCTGGAGCAGATAAAGCAGATTGTCTGTTCCTGATAAATATGTGGTAAAAGTTGGCGAACCCCAGGAACCTCTGTAGCTGCTTTCTATCCCCAGGAACTGGCCAGATGGTAACCGCGCGCACCTTCATGGGGTTCACTGAGATCTGATCAAGGGATACTACAAAACCCAGAAACAACATTGTTCATCATTCCATCCATCCATTTTCCTCCGCTTATCCGGAGTTGGGTCACGGGGGCAGCAGCTTAAAGGAATAGTACACCCAAAACATGATTAGCCTTCATTTTCTACTCACCCCCATGCTGAACAACACCTTGTAGTACTTTTTTGATATCTCAAATGCATCTGGAGATCTGGGAGGCTTCTTGCTGTCTGCTGACATTCAAATAATGGAGGTCCATGGCGCCTGAGGCAGAAAGGTCCATAAAAGTCGCAATAAACGTGTCAATATTCCTCCATACTGCTCGTCCAATGTATTCCAAGTGTCCTGAGTGGGTAGCGCCCATAATTTACTCGAAACGAAGTCATTTAGAATGTTTTTAGAGCATAAACAGTAGTGTATAGGATTTCCTAAAATCGCGCGCATGCGAGTTCACGAGTCTACGGAAACCGCGGCAGACCAAACCAGATGAAAGTGCGCATTCAGCGTCTGCTCTGCCGATAATGCAAGCGTAGAAGAAGAAATGTGCTGTTTACCTGTGCAAAGAAAGAAACAACGAAAGAAAAATGTCTGAGGACTTCAGTGTTGAGGAAGAGCATGAGTTCTTTGCAGAGCTGAATGCGCACTTTCATCTGGTTTGATCTGCCGCGGTTTCCGTAGACTCGTGAACGCGCTTTTAGGAAATCCTATACACTACTGTTTATGCTCTAAAAACATTCTAAATGACTTCATTTCAAAGAAATTATGGACGCTACCCACTCAGGACACTTGGAATACATTGGACGAGCAGTATGGAGGAATATTGACACGTTTTTTGTGGACTTTTATGGACCTTTCTGCCTCGGGCGCCATGGACCTCCATTATTTGAATGTCAGCAGACAGCAAGAAGCCTCCCAGATCTCCAGATGCATTTAAGATATCAAAAAAGTACTCCAGAGTGTTGTTCAGCATGGGGGTGAATAGAAAATGAAGGCTAATCATGTTTTGGGTGTACTATTCCTTTAAGAAGGGAGGCCCAGACTTCTCTTTCCCCAGCCACTTCTTCTAGCCCCTCAGGAGGAACCCCAAGGCGTTCCCAGTCCAGCCGAGAAACATAGTCTCTCCAGCGTGTCTTGGGTCTTCCCCGGGGCCTCCCCCCGGTGGGA